CTGGCAACACGTGTCCTAACTTAAAGACGGTCGGAAACTTCTCTTCTAGAAGTTGCGTGTATTGGAAGCTCTATCAGTCGCGAACGCACATCACAGCGAAGAAAGTTTCACAATTCCGAGATTCCTTCGCCAAATCACAACAGCCTAAAGTCAACAAGTTACTCGTATTTGTGACGGAAGATGTTATTTATCGCAGTTTTACTCACAGGGGATATCCCGTGACTTTTAAACATAACTTTTATCAATTGATAAGTGAACATTTCAGTTCTATAAACTGCGCGCCGATTATCGTCGGACTTGGAACGCAATCCGCAATTGAAGCTGGAATAATAATATCACAAATTAAATCGATCGTCAATTTCAAATAATACTGATGCTAATGAGTATTCCAAAAATAACTTTTGTCATTTTAAAATTATGAATAAATTGCGAGATTGTATTTTCCATTTTGTTTTAATTAACCATTTTAATTATCTCTAGCGTTATTTTCTTATAAAAAGTTGACGCTGCGAACTAATAGCGCGAAGTTAGTAGCTCGAATAATGGTAGATCGATTTATCTTGCGACAATGAATGAAATATCGGGAGTCTTTACAGTGTGTCGGACTATTTTTAGAACATTACACTGGGTGGAGCGCGATCAGATGCATGGTCTGTTGCATGTGAATGCGCTTCCTATACGTTGAATATTCATGCAACAATCTGTAATTTGTGTCGAGCCAAAGGTCCGCACATACATTTGCAACCATCAACATAATTTTTCATCCAGCAATCCTCGAATGAAGCGATTTTTCCGAATCACGAAACTAATGAATTTTAATCATATCAAGCGACCTGCGTTCGTGCTTGCTTGCTTGCTGGGCGATACATCTGATTGCAATCTTGCGTGTGTGACAGAAAAATCTTTTATTAGAAGCTACGTAATTGCAATGCTTTGCAGCTTTTGATTGAACTGTCCGGATGCGATATAGAATGTTGGAAATAAAAAGTAAAAACTAAACGAGAACACATATACCACGTCCAATTTAATTCTGTTTCCAAATAACTTCGGTTACGTTAAATCATTTTAACTCGGAACGGACTTTTGTATTTACGAATGCAGGATAGATTCCATTAGCTTGAGCATCTATTGTGATGTAAATGTATTTCATTAAATGATAATTATATTCAACAAACCGTGACCTTCGGTTTCCTACCAAAATCGTCGATGACATTTCAAAAATGAACCAAAAAAAAACATTAACCCTCAATTTACTTCATGTAAATTCTCTCTCGGCAAAATCTTAATTTCAGATTTAATTTGGGACTTCGAGATATTTAGGTAATATTGAGAGTCGTACGTACTCAAATTCTCGCTAAACTTCCTGCAGCTTGATGCAAATTTCGCGGAACATCCGACGGCGCGCACACGTACATCCCTCACACATCGGCGAGGGCAAATGGCGTAAGCGTCGTAGAAGGAAAATTATCGGGGGAAGATGGTGTACATGTCGGATTGATAGAAGAACATTCTTAATACCCCAGGGGTGCCGGAAAGGCGCGCCGACACGAGAAATCTCTCAGGAGCCGCCGACAGTATCCCCGTTTTTCACGCGGCGTTTCTTGCGCTCGTGCACGCCCCGTATCTCTCTCTCAGCTGTTCTCGAATCTCATCCCGGGGAAATTAGTAGAACCGTGTGTTATATCCCGCCGTCCGTGCCGCTGTCGCCGAATCGAAACAGCGAAAAAACCAGCGCGCAGCTCGCCGTCTCGCCGCCGCGCCGTCTGGCAACGTTTCCTCGTCGACGCAGATGAGAAAACGATAATTACAGACTGAAAATACGGTAATACGGTTATTGTAACGAACCGAGAGTGTTAATTACCTAAAAGCTCGCCCCGCGCAGCCGTTTGCTCGAACGGGTGGGTGAGGTCGCTGGGAAGGAAAAAAAAATGCGGAAGAGACGACAACGCGCCGAAGATGGTTGGTCGGTCGACGGACAAACGAGCGAACGGTCGATTCAACGGGACGGAAAGAGGGAGGGTGCGAAACGGTAAGAGCCACCGCGCCGCGCCGCGGCTCTCTCCCGTTGAATTTCCTACTCTCTTACCCGTGCCTGCTCGTTCACCCTCCGGCTCTATCGATACCCGGTCGACCGATAGCCGGCGTATCTAGTTGGCGAGAGGACGTGCCGACCGGCAACCTAACGCCGCCGCCACCGCCGCCGCCGGCACGGACCAATGCCCAGCCACGTTTAAACAGGGAGAATTTCGAAACGTGCGGAGGGATAGTATCGATAATACGCTGTTATCCGTGTATCAAATCGACGCACGGTCGAATTCAATGGCATTACACGCTCTCTCTCTCTCTCTCTCTCTCTCTCTCTCTCTCTCTCTCCATCTATCTATCTATCTCTATCTCTCGACATCTCACGCTCTCGCACTCCATCGAGGAGCGGCTCTGTGGAGCGTACTTGAAAATACGCCGTTTGCGCCCGCAATTGGCGCGTATCCCCAATAAAAGACTTCCCTCGATGTCGAGATCGTGACTTTGTTAGTGAATTATTCCGTTTCGATTGCCCGTCGACCCGTCCGCCCCGCTATTCCTCGCGTGTGATGTACTAACCCGTAAGAGGATTTTGAATTAAGCCGTGTTATTTAATTTGTGATGAACTGAAAAGATGCGATTTTGTCATATAAAAGTAATAAGGACCTTGATGGCGGACATTTTCCACCGGACACTTTTTTTTCAGCTTCTTCTCTCCTCCGCCGTTTTTCTGATATATAAATCCACTCGCGTATGAATAGCGTACTGACAACGTATTGGTTCATAAGAGGTTGCGATACAATTTCATGATAAACGAGAGTACGGTCTGATTGGCGAGAATAAAGAAAATTATGTAAATCTCTCGCGCGTGTACATTTGATTCTATTATCTGTGTCGAATTTCTACCGAATAAAATGGAGATCCCTTACAGAAATCCAATTTAATACTCAAAATAAATTAATTAATCACTACCATCCAGTATTAAATTTCAGTAAGAAATGCACAAAAAAATTCTAAAATCAAAAGGAAAGATTGCGAACCACTGAGCATGTGAATATACTATTCTCTCTTCTATTTCTATATGCGCTTAAAGGGCAAAATCGCCTACGAGAGTCCATAGGGTAAAAGGACAATAAAAGGGTAGTAAAACGCAGAATTCTAAGAACTCTGGTGGTTCAAAGAGGGCTTTTGGTTGGAAGCGAAAGCAAAATAGCCTTTGTTGGTTTTCGGAACAATGAATACGAGAGGAGTTGTTTTTGGGAACCTGTGTCTTAAATATCTATAGTTTTAATGGAATAAAGCACATACGTTACATTTAAAACATACTTTCAATTTACCAAATCTAAATCCTGGTTTAGTTTATCTAAATCCGCTCACTCGTTTTTTTTTTCGTTTTTAAGAATAAGCGAAAGAATTTTAATAATGATAACGCGTTATAATATAATATTAACGCAAAAGTTTTGCAAATAAAGAATTTACATATGTAACGATGTAGCGCACTTTCGAAATATAAATTAACGCTGCATGAATCTCTGATTGCTCGACGGTGTTGCTTTTTTTCCAGCGCAAAGTCTGGGTCGCTTGTTATCGCGTCGCTAATGGGAACTGCTTCTTCCTGTTAAAGAGAAAATTTAAGAAGTTGCAAGGGAAGTTAACGTCTCGTCGCTGTGTTATACACTTTACTCATCTATTGTCTTTCTTGTTTATAAAAAAAAAGAGAATCTTTTATACCCCGCGTTTCGCGCATAAGACCTTCGTTTGACGTGCGTTAAAGGGAATCCTTTAGTATCGGCCAGGAGCAGATAAGAACGTCGGAATTTACGGCGCGTAAGCGACGCTACGGATAGCAGCCGGTAGACTGTCGTAATTATTCGAGAGCGTCGCAATTCAGACCAACATAAATATAATACTAGCTCGAGATTAACGATAAGCGAGTAATTGCACTCGCGCGGAACAAAGTACTTTCAATCCCTGAAATGAGACGATGCTAAATTTCCAAACGTCGCGAAGAGCATGGTGATAAATCCTCGAGATTATTTTCATTATTCTATTCATAAAATCCAGAAATAATTGCTATTAATTAATAAATTCTACGGTATTGGTTTTTCAATCAATCTGCGGTACGTATTTAATAGCTAATATTACTCACATATCTCAGATCATATTATCTCATATTTATTAGTTGTTTTTTTAGTTATCGTATATCCTTTTATATGCATGGAAATGTATAGGCTTTTTGAACTTGTAGTCACTTTACAAATTTCTTCCTACAATTTAATAAGTTAAAAGAGAAAAAGAGAGCGACGTTGATATAACAAAATTGCATTAAGAGTTAATCACGAATACCTACGATTGTACCTTGTAAGCTGCTTTGACATATCGGGAACTTCTTTCGGAAACGCGTTCATTATTTAAAGACACGATGGTGCGTATCGCGAAAATGTCATCGGCGAGAAACGCCAATTCGAAAATCGAGTCGCACCGCCGCCGTTGTCGTCGCCGTCGTCACGTTACCGTGCTTGGTCGTCGGAGATCAGTGATTTCTCGCGCGCGCGAGGGTGGCAAATCGAATCTCCGAGGACGTTCGCGCGATCAGAAGAAGATGGAAAAGCGAGGAAAAGTCGAAGGGCCGGGCTCGCCCGAGGGTATCGAGAGGTGAAGAGGTATAGAGAAAGCCAGCCGGTGAGGGAGCGAAAGAGGGTCGGAGGGCGGATGAGGGTTTGGGCGACGTGCGAGCGTACGGAGGAGGGGGGGAGAAGATCCAGAGGGAGCGGGGGAAGGGGTAGGTTGGATCGTCGGAAGGGTGACGAACGGGGAGGGTTGAATCGGCGCTTGCGTGGTACCCGGTCCTATCTACTTGTCAGCCAAGCAAAGCTGCCACCACCCCGGCACTTCGCCTCCTCTCTCTCTCTCTCTCTCTCTCTATTTCTCGTAACGGCGCCGCGCTACTCGATAACAAACTCTACAGTACCAGTACTGGCACGGTACTCCGGACCACCGGATCGCCCACTGTCCGTCGCCGACCACCGGTGGCACATCGGTAACGCAAACGAACGATAAGGATCGCGATCCACGCGACGATCTCGCGGCTACGCGCGCGAGATCGATTCGGAATTTACGTGCTCGATCACGTGTAATTTTCTCCGCGTTATTCTCACGAGAGAACGAGTGCACCGGTAGATCCTCCGACTCTCGCGTTTCTTCATTCTCCTCCTTCTCTTCCTTTTCCCCGGAAAGATCCTCGTGTGATATACGCCTTTGATCGGAGCGCGCGTCAGGACGCGCGTGTCGATTGACCGCGCGATCGACGAGAGCTGACCGAGGCAACTTCGAAGAGTTTCTTCCTTCCTTTTTCTAATTTCTTCTCCTTCGTTCTTCCAATTTAAAACTTTGCGTCACGTTTGCGATCCACTGAATCTATATATTTGTTTCCAAAAGTTTATATAATCAATTAAGAAAGTTCCAGTTGTGATGATTTGATACGTTTGCATATCCAGCTCGCAAAGTACCCGAAAATTAAAATTGCATCTTGTTCCCCGTTTCTCAGGTAGATAAATGAAACTTTCAAGCACGAATGTGGATTCAGTGGATGCAGACGTTATTTGGCGGAGCCAGGGCTAAATTTCCTACGGGCTGGTTTCACCAACGTCGATTAACGCAAACCGTGATTGACTGAGGGTCGGTCATAGTAACGTCGCTTAGGGCTCTGACATCGGTTAAGTCAATTTTCTCTCTCTCTCTCTCTCTCCCTGTTCATATCGTAGGTAGAACTATAATCTACAAAGAGATAGCCAATCGCCGAGCCAGGTTTACTCGACCTACATGATTGATGCAATTCGGCCCAATTCCGTTCTACGTCTACGTTACAAAGTGGGATGAATGACGTGATGATTAAGCGCACTCGCGCGAATATTCCCATTGACAACATGCCAAAATCATAATCTGTATTACAACTGACGCGATCTGCAGAATGGAGGATTAATTGAATTACGATTTAGCATTAATCAACAAGTCTATAAAACTCGGTTTTTGAGAACTGAACTCTCAGCAGTTGCCCGCCCCGAAAAAAAAACGGTCGACGGCACGGAGATCGTCCGTCCACTTTCCCGTTCTCTTTGTGCGCCGTTGGTTATGGTGTATAACTTGTTGCTCGCGGGCAAACGAACGTGCAGTGACCGCGGATTGCAATTTTACATCTTCGGGCCGGTCAGCGATGGCAGATTGCCATGCCCGTTTTCGGGAGAGAAGCCTTTTTTTTCCTCTAGTTACGTTCCCGCCCGTCTCCGTTCGATTCGGAACGATAAAAGTGAAGAGCCGTCGACGCGCGTCTGTTGCTCGGTGAAGTGAAGAGGACGGGAGAGGAAATGGGGGGCAAAGAGAAGAAAGAGAAAGGAATAGAGCAGAAATATCGTAAAGGATATACGGGATATCCCGATCCCATCCTACTGTCGTCCGACCTTCCTCGTTATTTGCGGCTTAGGACGGCTGCAGAGTAAACATAGTCGTCGCGACCATCCTCCGATATTTGCCGCCGCGATTATCCCGCTTTCTCTCGCGAGATCGTGGATATTCGCCATGACGACCTCCCCTCGATCACCGAGCCGAGAGCTCGATCGCCAACCGATTACCCCATCGGCCGGGAATCAGAATCAAATTGAAAAGTTCGGAACTGTACCACTCAAGTCTCGAAATCTCGATCTCTTCCCTCGCGAGAGTTCGAATCGACTATGGGATATTATCCGCTGATCGAGATTATACCGCGGAAATGAAGTTCCTCTCGATTTAGGATAATTTCCAACTCAGGCGATCTCGATGTCGATCGCCCTTCGAAAGCCGTGATCGACATCGAAGAAAAAGTGGAGTTTGCTTCGCAATAAGGAGATTAGCTAGAACGAAAGAGAGAGAGAGAGAGAGAGAGAGAGAGAGAGAGAGAGAAAGAGAAAGCGCCTTGTTCTCATAAACATTAATTAAAATTAATCGTGACTCGACTCAATATGCTGCTGCGCTCTTCAGAAATAAAATTAAAAAACACAGAAAGGATCGCTGAAGTCTTCGTTCGCGTTCAACTAATATTCCAAAGCGATCAATCTATGTTATCTACAACGAAATCTACTAATGTCGATAACGGTTCTCGTTTCGCGGCAGACTTCATTCGCGTGTTCTAGTGCTTACACTCGCTTTGTGCTTTCTTTCTCACGCACAGGGAAAATTCGATTTCGCGGGACGGTGCGATGGGATGACAAATTGAATTTTTCTCAGTTGTCCTGTACCAATCCCGGAGGGGCTCACAAGGTCCGTCCTCACGAAGGGTTTTATTTATTAAAAAAGGGCCGAGTCTCGTGCTAAGGCGCGCGCATCTCACCGACTGACACTCGATTTCAGGGAGCGAGTCGCGAACGCGATAAATTGACCGAGTAAACAGGACGAAAAGCTCCTTTGCGGTTTTCCCGTCGCCATCCCTCGACGATCCGAGAGAAAGTGTGATGAGAATTAACTAATTACTGTGCTAAATGCGAATGGACTTGTACTTTTCAACGTATTCTTCTCGACAGAGAGCGTGCTTCTCTCGTGAGACGTGAATAGCCGAGTGTTCGCCACGGAGATTAAGTAGTTACGGATCGTATTGGTCTGACCGTGACCGCCTTTTTCCACTGCTTAAAATTCTGCCGCCGACCAGCCGCGACTTTCTTAACGAAGTTTGATAACGTGGGAGGATTAAGTAAGTATGATTAAGTAGCTATCGATAATAACGAGATTTAATTAATACCTTCTCCTCCATCGCGGTTTTTGTAGATATTAAATATTTATTAGAATTTTAAATGACGTGTCGCGGATGCATTGAGCAGACGTAAGTAAGAGCCTTCTTCGAAAATATTTTTTGGCGTAAATTTAAATTATTCAGGATTCTCATTCTGTTTACTGCCATTTTCAACAAATAAGAGAGCTGAATAAGAATTTTTTTTCCATCGAGTTTCGATTGTTCTGCAGATCGGAGGAAAAGTCGTGCTTCTACTTTCAAGGTTTCGCCAGTAATAAATGAAGTCTCTTTCTCTCCTTTTTAATAGCGACTATGCCATAAAATTAAGAAAAATAAAGTATTCAGGGATCGCTTCGAATACACCTCACTTCTAACTTTACAGCGCCGAGAACTTTTGTTAGCCGCTTCTTGTGTCTTGGCAAACTGCACGAGTTAAACAGTTACGAATTGCTTACACTCAACGGTACTACCCGTATTTCTCCCACGTCCCAAATCCCGTCGCCGATTTGTAACGTCCTTTATTGCGAATGGATTTCGGGAAACAATAAAATCTCAAACTGTTACGCTCTCCACTGGGTGAAACTAATTTTTCTATCATTTAGAGCTCCGCCATGAATTCCCTTTAAAGCCGCGCAGCTTCAGCAAAAACTATGAAAAAAATTGAGTAGTTAACGATTAAAGTTCGTACATCGCAATACTTTTCATCACTTTATAATTTTTATTTTATTATTGCAAAATTTTCAAAAATAATTACATACGATAAAATATTAATTATTGTTATTAATTATTATAGTATTTTAATACATGTATATATATATATATATATATATATATATAAATTGAGTAATTAAAGATTAAAGTTCGTACATACTTTTAGTTATTGTTATTAACTAGTATCTTAATATACATATATATATATATATATATATATATATATATAAATTTCTACAGTCCATAATATCTATATTTTCGTGTGAATATTATAGAAATTTTAAAACGAGACGCAATTGTCGATAATAGCCTGCAGAAATACTTTATAATTTCTCATAAAAAAATTTTCCTCTCATTCCAGCCCAATTCCTTAATTTTTCAAGCAAATAAAGAGATGCGAGCACTGTGTGCTTCTTCGGGTAGATTTAATTCGCATTCTTCTTGCCACTGATTTGCGACGCTTTTTCGACCGCAGCAAACATTCCGAAAAGCTATGAGAACTTAGAAATTACGAACCTCTTCGAGTGAACCTAACGCGTATATATCTTTCAGGATCCTTAACGTTGGATTCTTTCATCCGAGTTTCTACTAGAAACGCTTGAAAATTCTTACATTTGATTTTTGGAAAGTACCGAAGCGTGTTTCACAAAGTTAAAAGTAGAAAATCAGCCAAACATGATCTTTCTATTCCAAGACTTTTATACATTCCGATGTCAAGCGAGAAAAGAAATCTTAAAAGATAAATATCGGGCAATTTATAACAGACTTCTCAATTCGTGTTTCTCTTTGTATTTTCCTCCTTCTTTTTTTAATTGTACTTTAATTTAAAATAAATACTCATAAAAAATGATAATCAGATACCATCCATCGTTCCTTCCTCTGCTTTCGTTATTTACATATCAAAATTTCAAAGACTCAAAGTAAAAACTGTGTTCTTACTCGAGTATATATTCCTCTACATTCATCCAAATCCTTTACTTTTCCTCTCAATTAATTTTTCAATGTCCAGCAATCTCTCGAGCAATTCTCCGAGGGAACATTTTCTCGTTTTCGACCCCTTGTAGATACATTGCTTACCGGGCAGCTTTCGAGGCCTTGTTGCGCGGTAGCGACGAAAGTTGGTTTCTCCCTTCGGGAAGATGATTATCCAAGAATGGATTTCTGTTACACGCTTTGTTTGTTCCTTCCCTAAAAACGTTGGTTCAGCCCGGCGACCGTTTAATTTTCCCTCGGTAACGCCGCGCCGATGTCGGCAATTTCCGAAAAGATCGTTAACACGGATCGTCAATCCTCCTTTGTGCTCGTCGCCGATAGAAAGGAGTTACGATCTTCTTATCGCAAGCAACTAACGTGACACCCTGTCGGGGCGGGCCGACATGAGGACGCATACGGAGTTCAATCAGAAATAGCGGGCTTGGCAATCTTCGCAAGGTTCCAAATCATCATCGTAGTATTTTCCCTGTCCTCCCTTTCCCTCTTGTCTTTTTCTCCTTGTTTCTCCCTCTCGCTTCAATATCGAAAGAACGACAGGAGGAAAGGAGGGGCAGGACGAGACTAATTGAAAAGCCGACGCGGGGATTAAAGATTTCCCCGGGACCCGCCCTTTTCTCTCGCAGTGGCAACGGCAGTGGCGCTTAACTGAAATTACGTCAACTGGCGAGTGCGGTTGCACATTATCGACCGACGTAATTGGGTATTCGTTAGAAATAAATGGCCGTTAATGCAATTTTCGGCAGGTCTCTCTCTCTCTCTCTCTCTCTCTCTCTCTCTCTCTCTCTCTTTCTCTCTCTCTCTCTCCTTCCTGCTTTTTCTATTTTTCTTTGTTCACTCCCGTCAATAATGCACACTGATCCAAGTCACCCTGACTAAAACACCATAAACCCAATGGAGCACATGGTACCTTTCCTCTTTCGCAGTAATGACCGGATGATTTAATCATTTACTGCACCGACGAGAATCACGGAGACGCTAACACGCTAACGGAGGGAAGACCCGCTGCAAATCATCGTCGCGAAAATCGAGCACGTCGTCGTCGCTGCGGTCTCATCGTTATGTCCCAGCATCGTTAACACCGAAGACAGTCTTGTGATAAATTTCCGGCACATAGCGAAATAAATTGCATCGTGGATCATCAGGTAGGTTCCTTTCCCCTTTGAACCTTATTTCGTAAAATCACGAGACTTGCAATAGAGAGGAAAAGGAGAGTACAAGATTCTCGTTATGTTTCCAATCCTAACGAATCTCAAGGTATAAAATTAAAGTCGTGTCAATTTGAATTAAATAGACCGAAAGCTCAACATTTTTATATTTTCTGAAAATAGAATCGCATTTCTACATTTTAAATTTCAATTCTATCTTCACATCCATACGACAATCAAAATAACTGATTATAACAAGAGCTCGAGACGTGCTAGTCGTTGTCTAATATTCCAAGTCTTATGTGATCTCACGAAATGCGGTATTACGTTAAAATTTCCTATCACGTCTCCACGTGCACATTTTATGGCGGTTAACTCGATTGTTGTCAGTATACCAACGATACTTTTGGAGCGATCTCACGCTATAATGGCGGTCGTGTAATTATCTGCGATGCGTACTGCATTTAATGTTGTTTGGATGTCAATGCCGCGGGTGGAGGGGCAACGGGGATTGGTAATTGTTGTTTACAACGCACCGCCGCGCGTCATTGTACTATGATGACGGCGTACCGGTGCATAGTGAACGTTGCGCTGATGGGAATTGACGGATTTTATTAGCGATGCGGAAGGGAAATTGATCAAATTGTCAATTGTCACGTATGGTTTATCCAGCGTACAGAACAATTACAAAAAAAAAAACTGTTCGTACAACGTTTCGTGGCAGAGTCACACGCTGAACAACATCACGGTAATCCAAAATACAGACAAAAGTACTTTTTTTTTATTAAATTACTCGACATAATTATTACGTGGCGATTCGCCATGATTTTCATAATTTTTTCCATTCCTCTATCGCTATCGCTATTATGTACGCTCGTTTATGTTTTAATGCACGTCGCAGTCTTGATATTTCAATGCAGAATTAATTGCAGCGCGGAATGGATTTCGCCATCGCAAACAGCGATCGGCTTAAATCCGGTTTACGCAAATAACCCGATTCAATACACTTTGGCAAACAATGAAATGCCATATACAACTGCTATATATTTTTAGGATTATTTCGACGATCCGCCGCGAATGTTTTCCACGTGTTGTTCCGCGTGCATCGACGACGGAAAATTATGCGATTAACCCGCGTGAAAGTACGATTAGAGTAACTGCGCGGGGCCGCATGATCTCTCAATTCCCGGGAAATTCAATATTCTAACGTCGTAGAAGTGGCCCCCAGTATCTCCTAATGTCAATATGTATTATCGCAGCTGCTCGCCTATGTATAAGGGTTGGGCACGTATCTTTTGCGCGCGGCGTACGGTTCTTCGTGCTTATAGCCGGGGATACGATAGTCAATATCGTCTAGGTAGATTAACGATCGAATCATTCACACTAGATTGATATTATATTTGACTTCCTTTATCCGATCCCACGCTGCCACATTTCATCCCTCGCTGCATCACGGCGACAGGGAATTCCGCGCGCAGTTAATAAGTAATAGCAAAGTCAAAGAGATAAGCCAATAACTGGCACGCGCGATCTTGTTAAATCCGAAAGTTTGCGCTACGCCCACATTTCAACGCTGCTCTTTATTAACTTCGCATGCACGGAAAAAAATTTACACTGATACGCTATTCTTGAATGTATATTAAACTTGAATCACAAGATTTGCACACGTTATTAAAAATAATGTCTTTTTCGTATGGCATAAAATGTAAATGGAAATGTAACTCGTTACATCGTATGTCCGATATATTTCTTTCATTGCACACTTGTACACATAACGTCGTGTAAAAAGATAATGGAAACGCGTTCGATATTTTTATGTACGAATAACGCCATTACAACCTGTAATAAATGATAGACGCGGGCGACGTCAACGTCGAAAACATTTTTGACACGCGCTGCGAAAAGCGCGGAGCAAATTTTTGGGGACGCGGAAAATAAACTGCCTGAACCTTTTTTACGCTTTGAAATCCAGTTTTTCCGCGTGCGGCGCGAGTACAAATGTATCTCGGTTGAAGTATCTTCCGTGACGTAGAGGTGCAAAGCTTATCCGTTCCGGGGCAGCTTTTGGTATTAATCTGACTGGGCATAAATCTCTCGCTAATCCAACGTAACGCTGTAACCCCGCGGGTAGCGCTACATTGACGCTGCCGTTGTTGCTGTAGCGGGAAATACGGAACTTGTTGAATACACGTATTCGAGAGGTCCGCAGTTACGGGGGAGCAGTTCGGAGTACTCGCGATTACCCATCCGCTTTTACAACCGGTCGATCGACCCTAAGTGCTCCCTTTAAAGGGAGAAATCGAGCAATTCGCGGATCGTGCGGTACGACTAATTTACATTTTAACCGGCTCCCAGATTCTCCCCTGAAAAAAATAATTGCGTCAATTCTTTTTAACAACCCGAAAAGACTGCTTTGCAGATTATCTGTCTTACATTGAAGAGAGAAAATCCATGATGTTCGTACGTTCTACGAAGATGATTTTTCTCGTAAGAGATGAGTTGATGCAATCGTCCACAATTTACCAGTCATCTTGACTTGTCATTAATTATAAGATCGATAAAGTGTAAATATCTTATCGGTCTTCGTCGTTATAACGTACCTATTTTCAGCTAGACCTTTGCACCTTAAATCACTCCGCATAAGGTGCGGAATAATTCAGACGCGACGGCTTTTTGCATTTGCAGGGACAGTAACGGTTTTCACGAGGGAACGAGGTCGGACGGAAGCACCGGAATTTTTCCGGAAATTTTACCGCGACGATCTCCGTCGCACGTGACGATTGAATTTGCACTCACGGTCGTCGGAAGCAGTCGCGCGGCGTTTGCAGACTAAACCGAGCAATCTAAAATTATAGGAGCACCTGGACGGCGATGTTACATACGGGACAGATAGAGAGGAATATTTTATCTTTAACGGCGCGCGAGCGCGCGGGCGTCGTCATTAATTTTCTTTCTACAAGGGCCCAGATACCGTGGAGCGCTTTAACTCCACGTTGAAAATACAAAGCCGGACATCGTGTCATTATCACGTGCGCCAGCGAGTCACCGCAGCCGGACGTCGTGACGTAATCTTTTACCCTAATAAGTTAACACTCGCCGTTGATTGATGTTTATTTCGGGGGATGGTACGCCGTAACTGGCTTGCGCGTTAATTATCGGGACTTCGCCCTACATTTCGCCTCGCGGAAATAATCCGCGGCAGCTCGTTTCCGGTTTCGGGGCGGAGAAGAGTAAGGGGCGCTACGGCTGGCCAGAAGCGCATCTCGTAACTTAATTAGCGGGAGGAGCTGAGGTCTTTTTCCATCCGCTTCGATCATTTGCCGGATACAGAGGATTGTACAAAGTGAGGCGTTCCGGCTGCAAATTGAATCTTTCGTATCCCGATTTCATTTCTATTTCTTGACAGGATAATTCGAACTTTTTGCGCTGGATATAAAATACTATTAGCCTAAGTATTCTTTTTATTCTTTCCTCTATTTATATCTATTTTTCTGTTATATCTCGAATATTCTTTTGTTATCACAATTTGTAAAAATTTACACAAAATATTTAGATGCTGCTTTAAAATTAATGTTGTGTAATAAAGCTAAATATTTATATCTCTTTTTTTTTTATATTCCGCTACATTACATTTCGCTTGCCCATGCCCGAGTCTCTATATCCTTCCATAAATAATATCCTCCTGTCCTACATTATTATGCTCTTCGACTTTCATCACCGACCATAAATCTCTTAAGAGGAACTCCACGTGAGAGAGCCACTCATGAATTAATTATTTTTTCGCATTCAGTAGCGCAAATATACATCTCGCTGCCGCACAAATCGAATAATATCCTTTTTTTCAATGCAACACACACAAATCCGGTGTTTCTAAACGGGAAAGGCACTTCACCTGTCTCGTTTCACCTACTTGTACATTCTAACCTGGGACCCCTCGAAACCCTCGGGTCGCACTCGAATGGTCTGTGCGACAACACCGACCCGATCCAATTGAATATAACCGAATGGCGAACGCGTCACCGACGGGTAACGACGGGAGAGATGTTTTCTCTGGGCGTTGGAGAAACGCCGCGCCGCTCGTGCTGCTGCGTCCTCTATTTCGTGTAAAGCGATGTAAAGTATATACCACGCCGGCTTCAAGTAGTGTGAGATTTTTAATCTTGGGAAGAGCTCCGTCCTTCCGGATGGCACACCGGCGGAGAATACTGTGAAACTTTATCAACCGTAGCTTCGGAGAGATGGGCCGTCGACGTTACTTACAATTCCCCGTTATTAATTGCTACGTCGACGGTGGATTATAATACGTCGGGCTGCTATTTAATTTAGCAAATGTTTAACCGATAATTTTTAACCAATAATTACGAGACATCCGTTTTCATGTAGATATATCGACTTTTACGCAAAGTTCACGCCGTACTTCAAATAAACGACCTTATTGCGAATCTTTCATTAGCATTGAAATAAATGAATGCAGCACGAAGGCATTGCATTTCATTAGTTTTGCGGCAATATATATCTTGGCGTAAATTAATTTTAAAAATACGAATTATACGCGCCATCTCAGTAGATGAAGAATGTATTAATAAATTCGCGAAGATTTAAAAAGATTTTCCACATTTTCGCAAGTTTCTTGCTTCAAAGGAGAAAATGTAATATAATATCATTTTCATAAATGAAAGAAAGACAAAGGACAAAACTAATTAATTTATGTTGGAAAACACGTTACTTAAATTTTCTTAAGACATCAACAGCTCTAAGCATTGTGAAAGATAATCGTTTAAACAATAAAAAATAATTATAAATTCTTTGATATAAAAGTGGATAAGACTAAAGACACCAAACTTAAAATTAAACCTCAATATTAAGCGACATTGTGCATTGAAAAGTGAATTTTAAAAATACTTATCATCCAAGACCTTTTATCAACCAATCATAATTCTTTTACTGCCCACGGAATAAAACAGATTTTATTCCAAGGAGACCGTATAAAACGTACCGTGCTGTATTATGCAAATCTGCCACTTAATCCATTTGTTAGAATATTAACGTGCTTCCGCTCCGAATAGACGCGGTCGAGATTCTAAACGTGAGAGAATATACCACCCACGCGGCGGTGCTGCATCCGTGATCGCTTGTATATTTAAAATTGCCGTGCGGGACTTTACGCCTCATTCGCAAATCATACGGGAATGAATTTTGCGGGCGCTCGACACTTCCGCCAATAAAAGTGGCAAAAAAATAAAAGCGGCAAGGCGCACAGCGACGCGATAACGACGACGACGACGACACGCGAATGCCACCCAGGAGATATACCGGAGATATGCCTTAACGTACACTTCCGACGTTCCGTCTTGCAAAATATGCAGTTAGATTTTCCAGCGTGTCGCGCGGAAATCTTTCAAGCACCGCGTAAAACTTTATCGCGATCTCATTTTCCATCAACCACATTTTCGCGCTTTTGCGCTGACGCATTTTCCCACAAACGTGCACACTGTTCAATTCGCATCTGCCTCGATTCGCCCGCGGGTGCGAAACGACCGCAGATGGGACGTATCAAAATTAAATAAAGTCTATATCAGACAGTTTTCTCGAAAATGCGTAATTCTTGATTAAAAATAATATAGTAACTAAATATAGAGAGGAAAAAGGGAAAAAATTGATCACAAAATAATACACAATGAAATATTTATATATAAGCTTATTCTAGTAAAATTAAATTTCAATTTCAATTAAATAAATAATGTAATAATGTAAGAAATATAGATTTTATTTATATTTCTTACATTATTACATTATTTATTTACTTGAAATTGAAATTTAATTTTACTAGATATCGCGAAATGTGAGAAACATGAGAAATAAGATGACTCAGAAGATGTAACACTTAAACCATTTTTCTGAAATAACCGGGATCATGATACTGAATTAAGCTATGAAAAATTTATATTTATATTCTGGAAACTCTTATTTATTCATACAAATTTAAAAAATTGAACTTTTAACATTTCAGACTATTGGAAAAAATTAATAACAAATATTCCTGCAAATGTAGCACGTATATCCCCGACGCGAGTAAGATGCCGCCTTCTATATGTAGGAAAATGTCACAAGCAATTAAATAGTGTATGACGCAACTTGTTTTGCTTATCTACAAAGTTCACAATCGAATTTCACTGCACGTCTCTTCTTCTCGTACATTTATTATATGTAATCAAACATTTCCCGTACACAGTATATAATCTATTACGCTTATTTGATAGCTCGGAATTAAGATGTAATAATCTCTGACTGTGGAATAAAAAAAACTGTACGCGACAGAGCGTGCTGCCAGCCATTAGGAATTTTAATTAGCGGAAAAAGTTGAATTAGCACAACGTGCGATGCGAATTACGGGCAATAATTTCTCGCTCGCGATCTCGCCGCACCGTCGCGTCGTCGCAGTCGAACGGGTAGCGTGTATATCCCGTTATGGATGCGGCTTGTAAAATTCGCGGAAAAAAAATCCGCCCGAGATTGCACGCCGGGAACGTTAATTGATAAAACTAATCACGCCGTTCGCGCGCAACCACGGCGCAACAATTGGACGGTTTTTTCACTCCCCCTCTTCCCTCCCCTCCCCTCCCGCCCCACTCCCCGGAGACTTTACCGTGGTTTTTTGTCAATTTTGAGTTAAGAGTAGATGATGAGTGCGCACGTGTAAAGCCGTTTTGATGTAAAATGGAACTCGACTAAATGGACTCTGGCGGTGTAATCGGGCCACGGTCGTGGCGTTTGTTTTGCAGGATACCTCCGCCGCCGCCGCCGTTGACGTCACTGTACTGACGCTGTTAGCGATATATCGGCAACACTAATTTCATTCAAACTCAAAGATATTGTTGAGACAATATTATTGTTGAAGCAATATAAATGAGCGAAATGTGTTTATAAACGTGTTTTTACGAATTTTCCAAAATACGACTAAACACAAGGTAATTATAATGTTATTACACTATTATCACACATTTGTACCTACATTATGAAAATCTCCAAGTTTCCAATCTTAAAAAATCAGATAATTGATTTTTCAAATTAATTCATACACCATTGTTCCTTTTCCGCATATATGAATCTATTTATCCTCTCGCGCAGTTTAACTAATTTGCGTCGGAGGATTACTTCGAACTTTAAAAAGCGTTAGGCACGAGTCTTCTCTTGAGTTTAGAAAATTACTTACAGGCAATTCAAAGTTCTTTTAACGTTCCCCCTTTAAAAAAAAAGTGCCTTAAATTACGTGCGGTCTTAAAACGACACGTCAATTTTTACGTTCGCGCCTAGACACGGCCGATCGCGTCTGTAACGGAAGCGAGATGGGGATTTAGCAGCCTCCGTCATTAAAGTTCGAAGTTCATTAGAGGTTCTCCGGCGCCGGCGGAATAACTTTCCCCCAAGTTGTTACACTGTTCGCCGCCCTCTTGTGCGCCTCCCGCCCGTCTTCCCCCGGAGGACTTAAAAGTCTTGTTCCCGGCGTTGCTCCTCTTCTAAGAGGATACCTCCCTCCCCCCCTCGGCAATGTCTTTGGCGTGGGTCATGTCATGTTAATGACACGTTTCCGATCGCTTTCGTCGAGAGAAATGTCGACGAGGAGCGTCGAACGCGCAACGGGATTAGGGATTGAGTTTAACGTTCGCCTCCCCCCTCCCCTCCTTTTTCTTTTTTTTTTCTCGAGAGGGCGATGTCGCGACGGAGTGATGTAACACCAGGTGTCAGCCGACGGTTCCCGTCTCCGTTTGAAAAGGATATATAGATTCGCCTTTGAAAACTAATAAAGCCTAATCTAGATTTATAGAAAGCGCGGCGGCTCGGAGAACATCACCTCAGACATCGCGATGCTCGTCGCAGACGTGTGGCCCGGATCTAGAATTTGGGCGAAATTCTGTCATAGCGAGGAAAACGTAACAATGCGTTTACAACGTGATACGCGCGTATGAACTCGTCAGTTAGTATGATGCACGCGCAACATGCACGTCGACTGTACATTTTCCGTCACGACAGATGCATTCGTAGAACACGCGCAATTGACAGATTTTAGAATTTCTGTAAACCGGATAATTCCATGGGCGATATTTTTTTTTAGGATGGCCGTAGAGCTTTAACGTCGATACAGCGCATTTGTTAATTGGGACACCACGCAATTTTACACAACCGGACTCTGTAAGATATAAAAATATATCATAAAACATACATAAATCTGTAAAAATATAACGAAAAACATGATATCTCTGAAAGTGCTGTTTATTAAGCTGTTAAATAAAGTAGATTTCGTACTTTCATTTTAAATAATAAGTTTAAATAATAAATAAAATAAAATCTTGTTACGACTGTTTTTTGTAAGCGGTAAAATTTCATACGGAATAGAATATACCTATATTTAAATAATATGTCGTTAAAGAGAAATTTAGAAAATTTTTAATGCACGTAATATTCCGCCAATAGGAACCGCCAGTTGTCGTCCATCGTCACTGCGCGTTATTATTACGGCACACATTACCAATGAACGAACGTTTGAATTTCTGGAATAAAATCGCGCGCGAACGGACGGACGTTGACGTGCATTTTAATTAACGTCACTTCGCGACGAAATAATCTACTTTTTTTCCTTTTTTTTTTTTAAATCTCTATTATTGTGTCGCGTACAGTTACGATCGAAAGCACCGTGGATTTTTGGCGCCGTGGTTTTCGGCCGCGTTTACGCGACGCGTCCGAATGCGTTCATCGATCATATACGAGAGAGTTAAATGCACCGGTGTGTCGCCCCGCGCAATTTGACAGGGCAGTGCTTTCGGAAAATCGATTTGCCGGTAACATGTGGGTCGATGTCACCTGCAACGTGATGCCGCATCAGCCGTCATAGACAATTTATTACCGGCCTTCCCCAAAGACCTTTTCATCGATACGGAACTTACCGTGGCGTGCATCGCACATTGCACGTCGTACGCAGGTTTCGTGGTTGCGCATTCATTTTGTCTCTTTCTCCCGTTCTTTCGTCCAAGCGATTCTTTGGAAACGTAGATCATAACAATTGTGTCGTTTCACATTCTCGTTGAGGTGACCGGCGCGAATCCGGGCCGGCTCGGTCTCCAGATATCGCTTACTAGGCGGAACGAGAAAAACTTACATCCTCGACAATGTAAAACGTCGGTAAAACTGTGTCGCGAGCGTTTCGGAGGGCTGCACTTTTTAGCGAGATCGTCGGGGCACGACCGACGTATGTCGAAGCAAATTTATGGGCCAATCCGCTGGAGCCATTAATTTTGCATCTCGATACGACACACGGGGAGGCTTTCTGTTTGTAACGTAAATGTAATTCGCTCGATGTGGGAAGAGTAATTACTTAAATTGCACAATTACAATGTTCGTTTATTCCTGATGTGTAAATAGGCGAATATTATTAATTTATTTTAATAAATTTAAAAATTAAAAATATTTATTTATAAAATAAATTTTCTAATGATTAAATACGATTTTTAAGTAAATATTATATCTACCATAATTCGATTGACATTATATATATAATACGCGTCTTATCTCCTTTTTGTATCTATTCATCAAGAGACATTTATCAAAATAAACTTCTTGCAGGACGTCACAAATATCCTACGTGATTAATCGGTTCTCTAATAGCGACTTATTTTTACGTCGAAACAACACCCGTCTTAACTCGAACCATTAATTTTGCGGTCACGTGTTTTAATAATCGTGGATTTTTTAATTATTTTTCAGCACAATCCTGCCGCGTTGTATTTTTATTCTCTTATTGTAAATTCTAATGTCATTTATTAAAGAGAACGAAGGGCGCACGTTGAAGTGGGTTAATCTAACGTGTGTCTCTCTCTCTCTCTCTCTCTCTCTCTCTGTCTCTCGTATACGTAGATAACAATTTCATTCGCATTCTCCTGGATCTCGCTGTAGAGCATCCCCGATACGCGTGCGACAGCTCGACGAAGCTTTATCTTTCTCCCCAAGTTTGCAACGGGTCACTTTTATTCCCTTTAAGAGTAACCAATATGGATAGTTTATTGACCTGTCATTAAATGACAGAGATGGATACTTTCCGCTGATAAGATTTTGAGATTGTTGCACGTAGGTGTGCGTAACGTACTCCTACATTGTAAAATCGCCATTGATCGACTAAAACATGTGCCGCCTATCGCAATTCTTTCGATAATTATAATTTGCATTTTATTACTTCGCGCGCACGATAAAAACAGCGTAGGCATAAATATCGGAATATTGAACAATATTACGAAATATATATCGCGTGTTATACATATTTGATGAATTTATATAAATTTCTCTTCTTACACATATACATTTTTAAATATTGCATTTTGAAGGTTTTACTAGATAATTAAAACTTTTGTTACACACGGCCTGAGAGAATATTCTAATATTAATAAAATATAATATTAATAAACTCTCTGGTATGTACATTTATTGACGACTAAATAAAATAATTACTGCAATAAAAGGACTATATTGTAATAGAAAGGTTATTAAATTATTAAATTACTGTTTTTACATCGTTACGTTCTATCAAAATTTCATCAAAATTTTATACGTATACTAAATTGAAATCATGTATCGATATTTTGCAAA